CTCCCCCCCGTCTGTCCGTCCGGCTTGCTGCAGGCCCACTTCCTCTCGGTGTCGCAGCCCGCGCTGTTCACAACGCCGTCATCCAGGTAAGCGCAGAGTCCGGCTCCTCTGACCTCAAAGCTGCAGTGGAGAGGAAGAGGATTAATCCCAAAGGCCCCGGTGAACCTAGCGGAAAAAGCACACCGAGAACAACTGGCTGGAAGGCAAAGCCAGACAACTGAGGTATAAGGGACACGTTTTAACAGTGCAGGGGGGATCTTTGCGCTGATGTAGCTACACCCAATCATTCCCCCAAGGTATATATCTCTTCACTGAAGTGTTATCCTGACCCCCCTCCATGCCCCCACAATCCTCTTGGCTGAGTTTCGTGGTGCTTTCAACCCGGGCTAGCTGGCCTGGCTGCTATCCCCTGAGCTGGTAACCCGTCCGCTTTGCGGTGTGGACACAAGTGATACCCCTCGAGTGCTGATCATCCTCCAATGCCTTCCCACAATTCTCCCGCCATGTGCCCAGAAAGGACAGACATGTTCTCCCACAATTCATTGGGAAAGAATCAGAGTGTCTTGGCTTATTGAAGTACAAAGACCCAGGGGATACGTCCTCAGAAGTCCGAGTGACACACACCGGGGAGGGGAGTGCTGCACCGGATAACCCAATAATTCAGGTAGGGCTGCTAAGCTAATCCATGTGCTCTGACGCAAGTTAACTCTGCAGCGAAGACATTCAATCAGTGTCAGTGCCCTGCACCAGGTTTAAATACTAGGCCAAGCCCTGTATTACGCCGGTGCGGGTCTCCTACGCTGGGGGTTTGTGCTAGGCTAGTGACACTGTCCATGTTCTTAAACTAAACTGGCTCTTTGTTAAGAGAACAATTGACAGAGGTGCTGTGACTGCAGCTAACATTCCAGCCATGTGCACACAGACCGACTGCCTGGTGCTTCCTCCAAACTCTTCCCCCCTGCAACCTGTGCTCCTCCCTCCAAGTTCCATGCAGGCTGCTACACCTAATATAGGCTCCGAGAGCACAAATGCTGCTCACAGCCCTTGCAGAAGTGGCACAGTGTTTCTGGCCAGTAACCCCAAAGAATTAAAGTCCTCCCACTCCTGGCACCACATTAAGAGCCATGCCATCCAGAAGCTGTTTGTGGGGCATGACAACAATAACTTTATTGGTCCTACAAAATTGTGAATATAAGGCCACCCCTGTGTGTGGCTGACAGAAGCGAGGATCGAATTTGGGAGTTCTGGGTCTAAGTGCTGGCACCTCTACTGCCTGAGCTAAAAGACCAACCCCGCTTAGCTTAAAGGCTGTAGACGATCCATAATTCCTCTATATGTTCCAATCAGTAGAGGGGAGCATAGAACGACTCGGAGTAAACTTGGGGTATGTGAAAAATGTTACGTATTCTTAAGTGCCACTAGATGGCGCTCTTTATGTGAGCCATCTCCATACACACTATAGTGCGGTGGGAAGTAGATTTTTCAATTTGTAGGAAAATAGCCGAGTTTTAAATGTTTTCTCTTCCAAAATGGAAGAAAACAAAAGGAAATGTCCCGCAAAACAATGCAGAGTTTTTGTCGTCGTTATTTCGGGGCAATTGAAACATTTCGTTCTGATTTTGACTTTTAAAAGAATTGTTTTATATACAATTAAAAAACGGAGCGGAGACAGCATTTTGAAATGGGAAATCCAACCCTTCCATTCCGAAAAGGTCAAAACACTTTTTCTTCCATTTTTGTTTCAAAATGAAATTTTGTTGAAACCCACATGGTTTTGCTAAGGGTTTAATATAATAAATGGAGATACACCTATCTCATAGAACTGGAAAGGACCTTGAAAGGTCATTGAGTCCAGTCCCCTGCCTTCACTAGTAGGACCAATTTTTTGCTACAGATCCCTAATTGGCCCCCTCAAGGATTGAACTCACAATTCTAGGTTTAGTATGCCAAAGCTCAAACCACTGAGCTAGCCCTCCCCCCCGTTTGATGCATTGGCATTGTGTGATGGAAAAACGCTGCATTGGGAAAGGCCCGGCCAGCTCCAATATGCGCACAGATACAGGCATATCTCTTGTGTAATGCTTCTCTAATGACAGCAGCCTCGGCCCAGGCTGACGCTGGCTGCTGCTGTAAACTCCCAGCCATGACTTATAGTGCGACCTATACACAGATGACAGACAGTGTGTTGGATCCCTGCTAGTAGGTACGGCCCATGCTAACCCCGCCCCAGCAGGGGGCGCTGTGGGGAAGGAAAGAGGAGAGCAGTAGGCCCAGCTGTTGGGCAAAGTTTTGACAGATCCCACCGCTTCCACCAATACCTCTCTGGGAGTAGACAGGCCCCTGCTGCCACTTCCAGAGGGGGGAAAGGCGGCTGCTGCCTCTCTGGGAATGGGGCTTCCCTGAGGCTCCCAGGTGGTGGGGGGGCTCTGGCCATAGTTGCCCTATATCATGGTGTGGATCCCCTCAATCCTGACCCTCCCCCCGTGCAGTCAGAAAGAAAGGGACTCACAGGTGGTTGAATGCAGCGCCATCCACCCATCTCCAGGGCTGGCCCGGTTCCCTCCGGAGTCCAACCCAGTGATTGGAGGGGCCTTTATGGTGCATTGTGGTTTTCTGAATAACGCAAAGGGAAATCGCACATCATACGTGTCCCTCTCCCCCACCCATTCCTTCACTGTCTGTTTATGGTCCCTATGTGGCCATGGATTGTAACATGCTGTTATGTTGGAAGGCGCTAATGGAGGCCACCAGGTCACTCAATGGGAGTTGGGCATCTAAATAGGGTGACCATATTTCCCTGTGCTGAGTACAGGACACCTGGTAAAATTACTGGTATTCAAGCGAGTTCAACGGCTGTCAATCAGAACTAAGCAGCACAAACATTCAAATGAACATCAGGTTGACTGAGCCCCTGTTAAAAAGAAATGCTGCGTAGTTAGATTCTTTTTATTTACCGTCTTATCTTTAAGGTTCACACAGGGAGGGGTGACACACACACACACACTCCCGTACCCTTCTCTCACACAGGGTGCGGTGGAGTGACCAACTGACCCAACCCTCCCTGCCTGGCGCTCTCCGCCCTCCAGGCCTGGCTGTGTTGATAGCTGCTTGTAAGGGGAAATGTGAGGAAGGTGGCTCCAGAAGAGAAACATGGAAAAATACCAGCGGTCCCTTATTGGACAGTCTTCAGACTGAGGCCAGATAACACGACACAACCCCACCACTGGCTGCCTTCACGATTGCACAGCTCAAAAGGAGACAAATTGCATGTTTCACTGAAGATGACATTTCTATGACATTTTGTTGTATCCTTAAAATATTCTTTAAAAATACCAAAACTTTTAAGGAGCATGCAAAGAAGCCCCCTTGGGAAGGCAAAAGTAAATCGCTTGCTCCTTTCAGTGCAAAATTAACATGAAAGACGTTTTTCGACTCCATCATTATGATTGGTAAGAAAATAAGTTTACAATGAAGCTTTTTTCGTTGACAAAGCAAGAGAATATGGAGCATGCTAAAGGGTGCTTCTCATCCCTGGACTTCAGCGAGGAGTGTGTGGGTCTGAAACTGGACCCATGGCAAAGTGGCTACTGACTTCAGACTGTGGGAGAGTCGGCTCAGAGCCCAGATAAGATTTCTGGTATATAGTAGTCAGTGCAAAGGATAGTAAAGTCCATCCCCTAACATCTGAAAACATCTCCTAGTTGTGAAATACTGTCGAAGTGGGGGTGTTTCAGCAGAGGAAGGTCTCCTTTAGGTCAGACTGTGAATGGCTCTTTCCCCCCAAGTTTCTCATCCCGTCAGTGTGTGGGGATCTGTGATTTTGTATCTGTTTTCAATAGCCAGTGGATTTGTTACACTGTTTCAAAATGTACAAGGCAATCACAATTTGCACGGGCCTGTCCTATTTTCTGCAAAGCCAAAAAAGGACAAATCAGAACTGTCTGTCGGGGGGCTGGAACCATTTGTATAGTGGGGGTGCTGAGAGCCACTGAACCAAACTGTAAACCCTGGATAGAATGGAAACCACTTCAAGCCAGGGGGTGCAGCAGAACCCCAGCACCCCTAGTTCCAGCCCTGATGACTTTCTGGGTGTGTTATGATGTAATGACCCAGCGTCTCTATTGTATAATGTGTCACAAAGTCAGCACATAAACAGCGCACCCAGAAAGCCGTGATTTAGATTGCAGGGGGCACCCCAGACTGACTTTACATAGGATGAAGTGGCCTAGAAAGCTTAAACCTAACCCTGATTGTAAAATTAGGCGGAACGGTTGCTTCTGAGTGGATTCTTGTCGGCAGTGGAAAGTCCATGGCAGTGACTGGTACCAGTCGTGGATTAACTCTTTTTGGTGCTCTACTCTGAGACTAATAATGTTGCTCCTCCACCCATTTCATCTAAGAATAGAAGTAAAAGTCTTGTCCCCAATAATGCACCTTCCTTATAGCTTCCTCCTGCCTCATGCTCAAGTCAGCAACTGACGAGCGGAGTTTAAAGCTGGAGCTGGGAGTGTAGGAAACCGGCCGGGCACCGCGGCTGGTGCCTGTGATCCCGGCTCCTGGGGAGGCCGAGGCCGGCGGATCGCTGGAGCTCAGGAGTTCGGGGCTGCAGGGGGCTGTGCCGAGCGGGTGTCCGCACTCAGTTCGGTGTCGATATGGTGATCGCTGGGGAGCTGGGGGTCCCCAGGTTGCCTAAGGAGGGGTGAACCGGCCCAGGTCTGGAACGGAGCAGGTCAAAACTCCCGTGCCGATCAGTAGTGGGGTCGCGCCTGTGAATAGCCCCTGCGGCGTAGCCTGGGCAAGACAGTGAGACCCGGTCTCTTTTTATACAGCCACCCACCGGAGACCCTGTGTGGGGCGATGGGAGCACCCACACGGTGGGGATCCTAAATAGGGGCAGAGGGAGGCGCTCATGAAAGGGGGAACAGGGACACCCGCACATCAGGGATCCTGCAGAAAGAGCTGCGATCTTGCTTTAGACAGTGCGGTGATGGGGAATTTACCACGTCCCTTGCGGAGCTTGTGCCACTAGATAATTAGCAACAGAGGGTCCTGTGGCACCTTTAAGACTGTTAGTCTTAAAGGTGCCACAGGACCCTCTGTTGCTTTTTACAGATTCAGACTAACACGGCTACCCCTCGGATACTAGATAATTAGCCTCACGGTTAAAAAATGGTCATTTCCGGTTGGGATTTAGTGACATCGACTTCAAGCCAATGGGGTCTTGATCAACCTTTGTCTGGGGAATTAAAGAACCCTTGAAATCCGATATTTGCCCTGGGGAAGTATTTAAAAACTGTGGTGAATTCGCCTCTACCCTCTCTTCATTCAATGAAATCAATTGAGCTTCTTCGATCTCTCGCTGTGGCTAGATCAGAACAAGGTACATTTTCCTTGGCTTTAACGGCAAAAATCCTGATCTTGCCCAGAGGATTTGCTGCTGACACTGTGGGTTTGGGGAAGGATTTGGCTGCACCCAGAGATCTGCCCGCTGGGATTCACTCTGCAATCTGAAGGGTCAAATGCAAAGAGCATTTAGATGAGACGGTTCGTGCTGCCCCCGTGTGGCCAAAGGGTAGAATTGACAGAGTCTAAAGCTGGAGCGAGCAGACCGCGAGGCGGGTGGGGCACTGGGGGTTGTGTCTGAAAGTGAATCCCGACCCCACAGGCAGCCCGGCTGGTGAATTGATGAGCTCAGGGGCTGGGGGCAGCGCGCTGTGTGGATCGAGGTCTGTGCTGAGTTTGGGATCACGACGGTGATTCCTGCGCAGCTTCGGGTCCCCAGGTTGCCTGCGGAGGGGTGAACACAGCCAGGTAGGAAACGCAGCAGGTTAAAACTCCCGTGGTGATCAGTTCACGAGTGGGCTGGTGCCTGTGAACGTCCAGGGCAGCGCAGCCTGGGCGAGACAAAGGCTCTTTTTATACAGCCACGCACCGGAGATCCTGACTAGGGAGAGAGAGAGACACCCACCCACCTGAGATCCTTCATGCGCTGGGTGCACCCACCCACCAGGGGTTCTTACGGGTGGAGGAGTAGAGACAGCCAACAGGGGCAGCAGGTTTGTAAACATTTCGGTGGTGCCCAGAATGCCCAGAGCCCGCCCCCCACCTGCCTAAGGCTCTGGGAGGGAGTTTGGGTGGCGGAGGGGGTCTTGGGTGCAGGCGCTGGGCTGGGGGTTGGGGTGCAAGCCCTGGGAGGCAGTTTGGGGATGGGAGGGGAGGGGAGGGGGTGCAGCCTCTGGAACGGAGTTTGGGTGCAGGCTCTGGGAGGGAGTTTGCGGGTGGGAGGGGGGCAGGCTCTGGGAGGAGGTGGGGCTCTTAGGCAGGGCGGGCTGGGGGGCCTCCCCGCGGTGCTACCCCCAGACACCTGCCCCGCAGCTTCCTATTGGCCGCAGGGGCGCTTGGGGCGGGAGCAGCGCGTGTAGACACAGACCTGACCCACCCCGCCCAGGGGCCACAGGGAGGGGCCAGCAGCCACGTGGAGCCAGCAGGCAGTGTCTAAATGAAGATCGCAGCTCTTTCCGTAGGATCCCTGGTGTGCGGGTGTCCCTGTTCCCCCTTGCGAAATCTCTGGTAGATGGTGCCTCGCTCCGCCCGACTTCAGGATCCCCACCGCGTGGGTGCTCCCATCCCCCATACAGGGTCTCCGGTGGGAGGCTGTATAAAAAGAGACCGGGTCTCGCTGTCTTGCCCAGGCTACGCCGCAGGGGCTATTCACAGGCGCGTGGGCTATTCACAGGCTATTCACAGACCCCACTACTGATCGGCTCGGGAGTTTTGACCTGCTCCGTTTCCGACCGGGGCCGGTTCACCCCTCCTTAGACAACCTGGGGACCCCAAGCTCCCCAGCGATCACCATCTCGATACCGAACTGAGTGCGGACACCCGCTCGGCACAGCCCCCTGCAGCCCCGAACTCCTGAGCTCCAGCGATCCACCTGCCTCGGCCTCCCCAGGAGCGGGGATCACAGGCACAGGCCGCGGTGCCCGGCTGGTTTCAGGCTCTCCCGCTCCCAGCGTTAGACGCTGCCGGGAGCTCTGGGCTCTGAGCCGGGGGCACTGGAGCGTGGAGCGGCGCGGATGCTCTGAGTGTTAGTTGCATTGTGCGCTGCACATGAGGGTGAGAAGACACAGGACCCAGATCTCTGAGCACAAGCCTGGCCCTGGGGGGGGGCTGGATAAAAGGAGACCGGCTCCCGCTGTCCTGCCCAGGCGCTGCTACAGCAGCAGCTCACAGGTGCGATCCCAGCATCAATCAGCACCTGGGAGTTTGACCTGCTGCATTTCCGACCAGGGCCGGGTCACCCCTCCCTAGGGAACCCGGGGACCCCAAACTTCCCAGAGGTCACCGTATTGATGTGAAACTGGACACAGACACTGCTCAGCACACCTGGGTCCGGGTGCAGCCCTGAACTCCGACAATCAGCTTCCCTCTCTTCGTACAGAACCGGGCTCGTCAGTTCTGCGCCTTGGCCACACGGGGGCAGCCTGGCGCTCCGCTAACGCTGCACCTGGCGGGCTGCATTTCCCCCCCGCACGGCAGGTTGAAGCCCCGCAGACAGATGTGGGAGCAGAAGCCGGATCCCTCCCCCCAGCCACAGCGTTCGGAGCAGCTCTCCCAGACAAGCGCTGACGTCACCATTCCGGTACCTGACTAGCCAGAGCACTGCCTCCAGGTTCCCCTATGCAGGGTGACCATGTTTGCCTAGGCTGAATACGGGACCCCTGGTAACATTGCTCCTATTCAAGTGGGTTCAGCGGCTGTCAATAAGAACTATGCAGCACAAACCTACAAATTAACATCAAATTGACTGAGCCAGAAATGGGAGGCGGGGCGGGGCCCTGCTGGCTGAGAGCTGTCACGCAGCGTTGGCTGTTCTGCGTCTGGCCCCCCGCGCTGCATCTTTGCCCCGCCACCAGCCTGGCACACCCACCCCCATCGCTGGCCACTGGACCCCCCCCCAACCACTGGTGGGCAGGCAGCTGGTGAGCAGGGATCCGGCCAGCAGCAGGACCCACCAGTATTGATGGGATGGGGGGGCGCTGGGGAGACAGTAAATATGGGACAATTTTGCCCGTTTTAAGAAAAAGTCAGGACACCTGCAAGAGGGCTTAAATACAGGCCTGTCCCTTTAAAAATAAGACATGTGGTCACCTGAATACTCTCTGGGTGACCACACAGGACTGTGGAGGAGCTAGGAATTGAACCAAGGTTTTTTAAGTACAAGGTTATTGCCTTAACTCTGGGACCATGCACTGAACCCAGCCTGGCCTAGCTGCAGTGCCCACCCTGGGCTGAGCTACCCAAGCAGGCTTGTGGATGCCAGCTGTCGATTGCAGTCCAGTGCCTGGATGTGGGTCGTTGAGCCTGCACATGAGGCCTGCTATTTTGTGTTCTCAAACCACAGATTACAAACTCTTTGGGGAATGGATTTGTTACATGTCTGTACAAGTGTCTCATTCAGCCTCTGTGATCTGCATATTCACAAAGAGGATGTGGGTCCCTGGTCAACAAGAGAGGAAAAGTTGGAGAGTGAGTTGTGTAGAAGTCTGCTTGTTTGGGGCTATAGTTTGCATCTGTTTTCTTTTAATAACCCCCTCCTGTTTAAGATAGACAGTGATTCCATATATTAATGAGGCCTTGATCCCTGACTGTGACCTGCAGGACTACTATAATAGAACTAATAAATTAAGAGAACGAAGACGCTCCACCCCTTATGGTTCAAAACAAGAACTGAGTGTAAGTGACACAGCCACATCTGCCTGAGTTTGCAGAGAGCCTGAAGCAATCGCTGAGAGAAAGAACTGCCCCGAGTGTCACAGATGCAGCGGCGCTGCCTGAGTCTGCAGAGAGCCTGAGCCACTCACTCAGAGGGATGGCACATGTCCTGCCCATCTCCACTGAGTGTTAAATCTGAACCCTAATGACAACACATTGCTATTTAACCCTATCTGGGGTTGCCATCTCTTATGATTTTATCATTAGACTCGGTGTTTAGTCCTGAAGCCGCAGCTCCTGAGTCATGGGAATACATAAGAATCTCAGCCTTCCATTAAACATTTAAAACGTTCCCAGCTCTGAGTTTGCAGAAGAAAGCTTCAAAACGTGACCCGAGTGCACAAAAGAACCCCCAAGCTTAGCGTGGCTTTCAAAATGCCGTGATTTTTAAGCCAAATCCCATGATTTTTTTTGGAGGGGGGGGGGCATGATGTGATTTTTTTGAACAGGGTTGGTCACCACTGCCCCAGCGGGGACACTTGGTGTCACAAGTGGGCGGGGCTTGGATTGTGGGCGGAGCTTTGGACGGTGTTATGATTTCCCAGTCTAATGCCAACACCTCCTGCTGTGGGCAACCTGGTCTATTGCCGTTACAAGGACTCAATGGCTCTGTCTTACCAGAGCCTCTAAGCTACTGTTTGCAGCCAGAGAGGCACCGTGTGAAGCGCAGTAATTCTGGCCGGACTTCCAGTTCCCTTCCGCTTCAGAATAATAGTAGCACTTTCCTTGGGAGGCGATCCAGCCTTCTGGACAGCAGGAGGCAGCAGACGCTCTCAGAGCAGCCATGTCAGGTTTGATGGCAGCTCCTGGTAATGCACAAGGATAATAACAAGTTAGTGCTTCCACCGTCACGGGGTGTGTGTGTGTGTTGTACTGGTGTTCCGGGAACAGGGTAGACACAGCTGTAATCATAGACATGTTGGGCTGGAAGGGACAATGAGAGGTCACCAAGTCTTCTGGGGCAGGGCCAAGTAAAGCCAGACCATCTCTGACAGGTGTTTGTCCAACCTAGTCTGAAACACCTCCAAGATGAGGATTCCACAACCTCCCCTGGAAGCCTGTTCAAGAGCTTAACTACCCTGAGAGTTAGAAAGTTTTTCCTAACATCCAACCTAAATCTCCCTTGTGGCAGATGAAGCCAGAGGCATAGCGAGCACCCTCTGTACCCTCCGACTGGAGGGGGCCCCGCAAGGAAGGGGGCCCCTAAAAGTGGCAAAATAAATACTGCATTCCAGTTTCTGCATTGTAAGGGGCCCCGCCCGGACAGATGTTCGGAGGGGGCCACGTTTGGAGTGGGCCACGTTCTTTGTTGCTACGGCCCTGGATGAAGCCCATCGCTAGTTGTCCTACCTTCCGGGCAAATGGAGAACAATTAATCAATGTGCTCTTTATAATAGCCCTTAACATAGTTGAAGACTGTTATCAGCCCCCTCTCAGTCTTCTTTTCTCAAGACTGAACACACCCAATTTTTTTAACCTTTCGTTAAAGGTCAGGGGTTCTAAACCTCTGATCGTTTTTCTTGCTTCCCTCTGGACTCTCTCCAATTTGTCCATATCTTTCCGAAAGTGCAGCACCCAGAATTGGACACCGTGCACCCGCTGAGGCCTCACCAGTGCCGAACAGAGTGGGACAAGCGGCTACTTAGAGCTGGTGGGAAAATGTTTTTTTCCCCCCTGCTAAAAATTTGGATGAGACTAAAAAATGTGGAAAATTTTGAGTTTACAGAAAAAAAAATTGCAAATGTTTCGTCTGAAAACCAAACTATTTTGACTTGGAAATGTCAATGCAGTGCATCATGGGAGCTGTAGTCTTGGTGTCTGATGCTTCCATTCTCTTCTATAGGCGTGGCTCCTTGGTCAGATGCCATCTCCCATGATGCACCATGGTCTCCCCTTTGTGAAGGGACTGTAACGTTGCAATCCTTAGCCTTATGGGAGATGAAGTCCAGCTGGAGTTGCAGCCTGGCCTCCACATGTTCCCTGTAATGAGATCTTGACTTGCAGTGTCTCATTCAGCCACTAGATGGCTCTGTGATCTGCACAGAGTCGTAGACAGGATCCAGGTCTCTGGTAGGGTGACCAGATGTCCCGATTTTATGGGGAGCTTTGTCTTATATAGGTGCCTATTACCCCCCATCCCTTGTCTTGATTTTTCACACTTGCTATCTGGTCCTCCTAGTCCCTGGTCAACAAGAGAGGCAAAGTTGGGGAGCGAGCTGTGTAGAAGCCTGCTTGTTTGGGACTATAGCTTGCATCAGTTTTCTTTTAATAATCCCCTCCTGTTTAACATAGATAGTGACTTCATATGTCATGACATTCCCTGTGCCAGGGTTGTCTACGTTAGTAGGGATCTCCCCTATAGAAGGGGAATTCCTAGCTAGGGAGATGTCAGTTTCCATCCCGGTTATGCTCCTGGAGTAGCTCAAAGGGGGCCAGGATCTGGCCTTGCATGGGAAAGGGAAAAGAGACTTGGGAGGACAGAATGTGTAACCGAGTCGCGGAGAGGGAGCTAGCCTCGGCCCTTTCCACTCACGTGTGAAAACAAATATGGTGGCGCTCAATCCTCCGATCGCAATCAGGAAAATGAGTAGGACCATCCACGCCATGAATGTCTGCATCTTGGAGAAAGATGGATCGTCTGCAATGGGAGTGGGGAAAGCCATTTCAAATTCCTCGGGGACAAAGCTACTCAGAGTCAGAGCCGAGGCTTAGTACATAGTGTAGACAGACGGTGGAGGTTTTAGGGGGAGGCAGCAAGGCAGTGGATTGCACACTGGCCTGCAATGCAGCAGACCTGTGTTCATTTCACTCCTCTGTACCTCAGTTTCCCCATATGCAAAATGGTTCAATAATACCGATCTCTTTTGAGAGCTACCAATGAAAAGTGCTAAGTATTATTATTCCTGGAAGCGGGGTTTCAAACGGGCGGCGCTCCCTTCCTCCAGTTCAATTTCTGCGTATTTAAGATGAACCCACCCTCATACGATCGTTCTCCCTTACCTTTGAGTCCGACTGGGTCACCGTCCTCAGCCTGCTTCGCCAGCTCCACCATATTTATGTCTCCCCTAACGGTAGAAGTTGGCTTTGATTTTGGAAACTTCTTCCAGCTACAAAAACACAATGTTACATTGACGACACCTGAATGTTCTCTCGCCGCGCATAGCATGGGTAAGGGATGGAGAATGGGGGAAGAGCAAGTGGTGAATTACTGAGTTATTTGCTATTGGGTGCTATAAAATGATTCTTTCATCCAAAGTCAATCACAGGCCTCATTAGAACCAATGGGTGGCCAAGCACCCTCTTTTAAGCTCAGAGGGAGCAATTAAGTCCCTTTATTCAAGAGGGAGAGCTACAAACAATGGAGGGACCGCCCAAGGCACATGACTGTTGTGTACTGGGACATATATGGTCAGGCCTAGGGGGTCAAAGCAGGAGTTGGGGTCAGAGCCAGAGTCAGTAGCCAGGAGTGGGGCACAGAAACAGGGATCTGGAACAAGGCAGGGTCTAAAAGCAGCCAGCTACAGATTCACCTAGCCACTCAGACAACTTCCTGTGCCTCCATCTGGCTTAAATAGTGAGTCTGAGCCAATCAGAGAGGCCGGAAATCTCCTCCAATCAGGAGCTTTGTGGGCAGGGCATCTGGTGAAGTAGGGTCTGCCAGCCCACATTCCCTGCTGGTACCAGTGAGCTGCCGGGTGGTGGCTGCAGTCTGAGGACTGACTGCGGACCCGGATTCGAGAGTTGAGATCCCTCACATCAGCGGAGCTAAGCTGTGCGGGCCGAGGGTTTGCAGACGCAGGGGCTAGGAGGCTGGTTGCAGCATGTGTGTCTTGGAGGCTGAAAGCCAGGGGAAGCAGAGAGATAGGGCTTTTTGGGCACAGAGCTCCCGGCTTGGGGGTGGGGAGGGGCGGACACATTCCATTATTGATAAGGGTGGGGGGGCACAAGAGGAAAAGTTTGGGCACCACTGGATTAAAGAATTAGAAAATCTGCCTTGTAGTGATAGACTCAAGGAGCCCGATTTATTTAGTGTTACAAAGAGAAGGTTCAGGGTGACTTGGTCCCAGGCTATAAGTACCTAGATGGGGAACAAATACTTAATAAAGGGCCCTTCAATCTAGCAGAGAAAGTTACAACATGACCCACTGGCTAGAAATAGAAGCTAGACACATTCAGACTGGAAATAAGATCTATGTTTTTACCAGTGAGGGTAATTAACCATTGGTTCAACTTACCAAAGGTCACGGTGGATTCTCCATCACGGACACGTTTTACATCAAGATTGGATGTTTTTCTAATGGATCTGCTCTAGGAATTAATTCAGTGACAGTCTCTGGCCTGTGTTATCCAGGAGGTCAGACTAGATGATCCCAATTGTCCCGTCTGGCTTTGGAATACACAGGAATGGGACATTGGTGTCCCCCCGGCAGACTGAGCTGATACTGCGACTGTACACAGGAACCACAACCTGGTAGGAACCCACCCAGATGGGAGCATAACTTGGGGGTGGACCAACGTGTTGCTTGGACACTGCAACACCTGGGCTAGGACCACTAGGCCAGCTGGCTATCGCACTGACCCACCACAGAGGGCCTTTATCAGAGGGGAAAACTGAGGCACAGAGAGTCTCAGGCCACCCAGGATGTCTGTGATGAGTAGGGCTTTGAGCCCAAGGCTGCCAAGTGCTTAGCTAGTGAATTAATCATTGGACCAGCCTCCCTCTCTGTACTAAATGCCAGATCCAGCAGTAGCTAATCCCCTCTACAACAGCTGGTCAGGAATGTCCCATCAAATTGAATTTCTGATGCAAAATGCAGTTTCCAGAAAAATCAAAATTTCCCGCAGGAACATTTCAAAGTTGCCAATTTTTTGTCTCAGTTTTCCTTCGGGAAAACCAAAATGGGACATTTTGTTTCGGGTCAGTTCAACGTTAATCTGTGTCTGCCTGAGCCGTCGCGGTGCCTCAGGGAGTTGAAGTTCGGATGCTTCATGCTCCCATTCGCCTCTCTGGGACGGGCTTTCTGGCTGGACTACATGTCCCATGATGCACCAGGGTCTTCCTGGTGTGTGGTGCATCACAGGAGTCACGTTACCATGGATGCATCATGAGAGATGAAGTCCAGCCAGGGAGCCTAGCCCATAGAGAAAAATGAAGGCATGAGGCACCTGAACTACAACTCCCATGAGGGGAGATGCATAGGAAGATGCAGATTAATGTTAAATTGACTCGAAACAAAATATTTCAACATTTCTGGGATTCTGTGTTCAGCCCCAGGAAGATATGGTTAACCCTTTTGGCCTGAGTGGTTCACCAGTATTCAGGGCCTTGCTGGGTTATTTCCATTAACAGGAGAAATCAATTATATCAGTTGGGTCTGTTCTCAGTGTGATCTTGCTTATTCACAAAAAATGCCCACAAAGTCCTGTTCCTTTGAACACGGGAAAAACAAACAACAGCCGGCAAGTTCCTTGCTCGGATTCCCCACGTCTGCCCTTCCAGGGAGTTCTGTGCCCAGAAAGCCCTGTCTCTCTGTTTCCTTTCACACTCACAATGGTTTCCTCTGGCTTTTTGCCTCTAACACACAATCTGCTACTGATATCCTCATCCCTGCATTTGCAATCAGGGACACCCCTTGGCCCAAGCGGCTTAGATCTTCCCTGCCATGAGCCTTGGGCAGTCCCTCCATTGTTTGTAGCTCTTACTTCTACATAAGAGGGGCTTAGTTGCTCCTTCCATTGAGTCTGAAAGCGTTTGGCCATCCACTGGCTTTAACCACATGTGGGATTGTCTTTGGATGAAAGGCTCACTTGATGGTAGTCACTTAACACCTTTCAGCGTGACAAGACAGCCAAAGTGGAGGATTTTGAAAAGAGCAAGAACTGTGCTCAGGGGGCTAGAGGGACACTAGGGTACGTCTACACTGCAAAAAACAAACCAACCCTCACCAGGGTTCAGAGCCTGGGCTCCAGCCCAAGCGGGAAAGTTAACATTGCTTTTATTACCCCTGTAGCATGAGTCTTGGGAGCCCGAGTCAGTTGATGGTGGCTTTGAGATTTGCTTAGGGACCAAACCTGTTTCCCAGACCCCTTCCCAGCATAACAAAGTTCAAGGGGCAGCAGATAGCAGGAGCCACTTACCCGGCCAAGGGACGCCTGATGCCCTAGAAGAGAAAGCAAAGGAAACTTAACCCATATTCCATACAGCAGATCCCCTGTAGGGGCAAGACGTTGCTCACACCAGAAAGGGGCCTGTGAATAGGTGTCCTCCATTGCCTATCGCCCCAAATGTTGGATGTTTTTGTTTTTTGGGATTCCAATACTGGGACGTGGCATTGAATGGAGGGCGAAGGAGAGGGCTTGGGTAGCCTGATTTATAGTTCACTTGTGTTTGCTATTGTTATTAAAAATTTCCTTCTGTTAGCCTCAAATCCTGAGCTCTTTACTCAGGTTGTCACCTGTACAACTTGTGATAATCATATAGGGGTAACCCATTAGTTGGCAGCGGTAGTAGGCTGTTATCCACTATGTGGACGAGCTACTAGAGAGCGCCATGGTACACACTTTACAAATGTACTACACTTACTCAGGTAAAACTCCTAAGGGCAGCAGTAAAACTGGGGTGGGGTGGGGGAGTTAAACTTTTTGATACCAATTTCATTGTACATTTGAAAAAAAATCCCCAAATTTTCATTAAGAAAAATGGCCCTTTCCCCCGGCTTTTTAAAAAAAAGGTTTTGTTGAAAAAATGTCAATGTGCTCGGAGGATAATGAGCTTTCTGTTGTCTGTTTTGTTTATTTATACTGCAAGTGGTTCAAGGCAAGGATTGTCTCTTGCTGTGTGTCTGGGCAGCGCCTGGCACAACGGGGCCCTGATCTCAGCTGGGGCAGGGACTGTCTCTCGCTGTGTGTC